CCCGGAGGGGGAGGTTTTGTACCTCTCCGAGCTCAAACCCGGAGCCCGGGAAGGTGCAGCTTTGCCTCTGGGTGGGGCAGGGTTCCTTCCCGCAGCCTGGGAGCTGCCGGGAGCAGGTCTTGCCTCCCCTTCCCTGCCAGTAGGCACTGTTGCTTTGGCCTGTTTTCTTGTTTGTTTGAGTTGTGTTTTTTTTTTTAACACCCAAGGGAAACTGTTTCCAGGTCCCCTCTGCAGCTGGGAAGTGACTCAGTATGAAGTGCAGACCTTCCAGTAGCCCTTGCTCCAGTAGTTCTGGGGTCTTGTTGCCAGCCTGCCTGTATATCCTGGTTTAAAGTTGGGCTGGCAATTAAATGAGGTACAGGTGCTCTCTATTAACCCCTCTCCCTTCAGCAAGTGCAGTTACTTGGAGGAGACTTTAAAATGTAAAATTACTGGAAAGAGAAGTGGTTCTGTCCTGGCTCAGCCCAGGCCAGGGCAGTGCCAGGAGCGCAGGGCTGGGCTGTTTGCTCCTGCACGAAGCACCCTCTGTGCCTGCCTGGTGTTCTGCTGCAGGCTTTATGTTCGATGGCTGGTTGGTTGGTTGGTTTATTAAATGGCTTGTTGTCCCTCTTCCTGCCCAGCCCTCTCTTCCTGGACACTTCAGGGATTTGGCTTCAGGACCGGCCCTCCCTGGCCTCGGTGGAGGCGTCGTGGGACGCGGCGGAGGTGGCAGCGCTGCGGGAAGGCACGGGTGGTGACCCAGACCTGAGGGCTCTGGAGGGGGACAGTGAGGAGAAGCTGGCTGTGCCAGACCCAGTGAGTGCCTGGCTGAGCGTGGAATTGGTTTTTCCCTGTTTCTCTAAGGAAATGGGGAACTTTCTGCACCTTTTTTTTTTTCCAAAAAGTTAAGAATCAGATTAATCTTGGGCACCTGATGTAGAAATCCCTGCCCCGTGTGCTGCTCACCCAAGTGTGTTGGTTTGGGTTTCAGGAGCTGGAGGCCATCACAGCCAGAGTGCGGGAGATGGAGAAGGAGTATGAGAGGCTGAAGGAGTTGCAGCTGGAAGCTGAGACCCAGCTCATCATGAGCTCAGAGGCAGGTATGGGCTGCCCTCTCCAAGGACATCTCTGTGGCACAGGGTGGCAATTAAAGGCAGAGCAGGTGGCTTTGCCTCTCCTGGCAGCCTGGGGCTGATGGATGAGGGATGGCATGATGCTAATGCAGGTTTCATCCACTCTTACCTCCTGTTGTTGCAAGCCAAGGTGCAGCAAATTACTTAAATTGAGTAATTGAGTTTAGCCCCAACAGCCCCACCAGAGCAACCACCCTGGGGGGTTGTGTGTTTTTTTTGTGAAGAGAAAGGGGAAGGAGGAGAAGGGAACAGTATGGGCATTTGTGACCAGGGACCTGGGGAGCTTTGCAATGTGTCAGCTCTGTGGTGGCCATACTGAGAGCAGACCTGCCTGCCCAGGTGTCCCTCTGGTAGGAAGCTCCTGCCACTCCCTCTACTGCAACCCCTTGTCTCTGTAGGTCTCTTCCCAAAGACAACAGAGGAGAAGGTGGAGGCTGACCAGCGATCCATCTATGTGGGCAATGTAAGTGGGAGGCCCTGGAGCAGAACCCACCTCGCTGCTCCTTGCCCAGCCTGACATGTGTCTGAGATCCATCCTTAGTGGGGGGGCCCACCTGCACCCCCACAGAAGGTCCCATCCCAAATGCTTTTCCTCTGCCCAACCCGGACTGGGAATGTGGCTCAGCATCTGCCCACAATCCTCAGCCACTTGCAGATCATCTGTTGCAAGTGTCAGCTCCCCAAAATACTCCACTGGAAACTGCAGCTTGTGCTGTGTTGCTTGGTGTCTCAAAGCAGAGGGCTGGGGTGGGGGGGTTGACTCTTGGATTTGGGTTTCCAGGCTGGAGTATTCAGCTTGAAGGGTCTCCTGATGCTCAGGGGATGATGAGTCTATGGTGGTAAAGTGTGAATTTGGGTCAGCTGAGCTCTTTGTCCCCAGCAAGGGTGTGCAGATGCTGGGGGGGGGCTGGCTGGTGGTGCTGGAGGGGCTGGGAATGTCGTTGCAGGTGGATTATGGGGGCACTGCTGAAGAGCTGGAGTCTCACTTCAACAGCTGTGGGCAGATCAACCGAGTGACCATCCTCTGTGACAAGTTCTCAGGGCATCCTAAAGGGTCAGTGATGTGTTGGTTGGGGTGCCAGGGGTGCTGCCCTTTGCTCCCCAGCCCTGGGGGGCAGCAGGATGTTCTGTCCCTCACCCTGTCCCCTCCAGGTATGCCTACATCGAGTTCAAAGAGAAGAGCTCAGTGAAGGCTGCGGTGGAGCTGGATGAGAGCGTGTTCAGGGGCCGTGTCCTTAAGGTAAGAGCTGGATGAGGCCCCAGGGAGGTGGATCCATCCCTCCCTCCCAGCCCATGGGGCTGTGCTGGCAGCACTGGGCTTTCCTTGTAAAACCATGTGGCCACTTATGGGTGCAGTGCAGGGGAGAAGAGCAGAGCAGTGATGGGAAATCTGGTTTGGGAGATCTGAGGGGAGAAGGAGAAAGAAAATAAAACACGGCCCCAGAAAGCTGGTGCCAAAGGGATGGGGGTGACTTGACTTCACATCCTTGTGCTTTTACTTAATGTGAAAACAGGTTGTGACAGAGCATGGGTCACACAGAAACAGCTTGGAAATGGGGGGGATGTGAACATTCCTTTGGATTTGGTCAGTGGAGACCTCGACCTACATAGATGGGCAGTGGGAGGTGATGTGACACAAATGGAGCATACAGCTCCACCTCCTGCCTTCTAGGTGCTGCCCAAGAGGACCAACATGCCAGGCATCAGCACCACTGACCGTGGGGGCCACCGGGGCCGCTTCCAAGCCCGGGGCCATCGAGGGGGCTACTATGGAGGGCAGTACCTGAGGGTGCAAGGGAGGACCTACAGGTGAGTGGCTGGGTGGGGGAGTTTCCGTGTGGGTTTGGGTCAAAATCCCTGCAGAGTGGGGGCTGTCCAGGATGGGGATAACTGCCCCTTGGTCTGACCATGCTCAGCTTTGCACCCCAGCATGGGTGGGAGGATGGAGCTGGGCTCAGGCAGGAGTATCCTCCTGTGCTGTAAATGTCTCCTGCCCATCACCTGCTGTTTGCATCACCCTGGTGTGCAGGGGGCTGGTGGGAGTCTGGTGGCAGCTCCAGCTGGGACATGGGCACATCAAGGGGACTGTGGGCAGCCGGGATGGGGAAGGACTGAAGTGAGCAGCCAGTGATGGCACAGCAGACCTGTCCCTCTGCTGTCCTGGCAACCCTGCATCCCCAGCACTGCCTGGAGCTATTTTCCCTCCCACCTCCTGCTGTGCATCCAGAGCTCACTGCAGATTAGCTTCAGTGATTCCCCAGCTCTTTTGGCACTGTGGGAGGGAGCGGGGAGGAGCTTTTGGGGTGGAAGAAACACCTGGGAACTGCTGTCCCCCCTCCATCCCTGCAGGATTTTGGGGGGTGGGCATCATGCTCCCAGTCTGACCGGTTTCAGAACCATGCCTGGCTTTGGGGGTTTGCTGGGGCAGAAGGGTGAGTGCCAGCTCTTGGAGGGACTGAGGTAGCTGGTTCTTTGGCATCTCAGCTGAGCAACAGCCCTGATCTCCAGGATGCTGGTTCTCTTCTTGTGCAGGGGTCGGGCAAGGTTGCTGCCGTGGTACTTCCCATACTAGGAGGGACTGCTCTGCCCGGGTGATGCCAACAGGACTGAAGTGAAGAGAATGGGATTGGAGAGATTTAAAAACATGCCTGCCCAAGCCAAAACAAGATTAATTTTAAAGTGCCATCTGCCTGGCTGTGAGGATTCCTGGTGAGGCAGCCTGTGCTGGGCTGCATGGAGGGGAGGCTGGATCCTCCCCACCCACACACAGGCTGGATCCCTGCCAGCACCCTGGGGGGGGACTCACCCTGGCTTTTTGAAGGGACCACGTTGTCACTGAGAACAACCTCATTCCAGAGAACATCATCTCCTGGGAAAGGAAGAGCTCTCCCAGGCCATCAGTCTCATCCTCATTCCATAGAAAAAGGCTGGACTGGAGGGTTTGGGTTGGTGTCCAAATGCCCTCCACCCCACCGTGAGGGTGGACCTGTCCTGCTCAGCACATGAAGCACCCTCAGTTTTGCCAGATGTTTCTGTAAGAGCCTCAATGCTGCTTTGTCTTTTTGCCCACAAGAAGATGCTGAAGACCTTTCCAAAGACTTGTTTTCTTCTCCAAATCAGCAGAGAACCTCTTGAGTTGCAGCTCTAGATCTGACTCGCTGAGGAGCTTTTCCTTCATCAGCCTTGTGGATTTCTGACCTTCCTCTTGGGATGAGGATGGAGCCTAATGAGGTGTTTTGGATCTGTCTGGTTTTTAGTTTGCTGCTGCTGTATATCAAACAGCTAGGGGAGGGGGAAAAAGCATCCTTTGCTGTTTCTCTGGAAGACTCTATCTCTGTGGTGGTTAAACAAGACCCCCTTTCCCCTCTTATTTCAGAAGTCAGCAAGCCCATCTTCCCTCCTCCTCGCATTCCCAAGCTACAGGGATCAAAGGGCACTGCCAGCTCATTTTACTCTTTTCCTAGCAGTAGCAGTATTACAAAATCATCTCCACTTTTGCAGATTTGGTCTGATTTTCCTCTTTGCTCCTGTTCCTGCTCCAGTTCCCTTTTTGGGGTTGGTGTGAGCCTGGCTGAGTCAGGACAGAAGTGCACGGCAGGAGCTGGGTACTGGGGACCAAGCACTGCCAGGCACTTCCCCTTCCTGCTGCTCCTGATATTGAGCTATTTTTTTAAAGGAAAATACTTTGTGTGAGAAGAGGCAGGCTGGGAACACCAGCAGACAGCATTACTGGGCAAAGTTCTGCATTGAAATCTGGTTCATGACATCATTCTCATGCAAACCTTTCGGGACCCTTGGTTAGGATTCCTCTAACCCAGACACAACAGATGCCACTGACTCCTAAAGTTCCACAGCTCAGGGTGCATTGCCAGGCTAAAAATCCCACTGATTTATTTTTTTCCCTCCCCCTTAAGTTCTCAAGATATTTTTTTTTAAGCTTGGGTCCTTCTCTCTCCATCTTGTGTTGATTTTGTCCTTTGCCCCGTGCGGTTGGTGCTGCTCAGAGCGGCTCTGGGCCGAGCTACCCGTGGGCTTCAACTGTGAAACTGTCTTTTTCTTGGGCTTTAAACTTTGTTTAGTAGCTTTGTAAGTTTTTGAGACTTATATTTTTAAGGAAAACCTAATTGTGGGGCATTGGGCCTCTCCCTTGTGGAAGAGGAAATGCTGAGCTCCTGTCCCTGGGAGTGAAGAGAGTGAAGACTTTTAGATGGAAATGTTTTGGAATAGCAGAGTGCAGCTGGGCCTTGTTTAGCTGGTGGGAGAGGCTGGAACACTTTCATCCCCCATTATTTGACAGGTTGTTGATTAAATGTATTTAAGTTCTGTTTGAGAAGGTTTAGTAAATGTCACTTATTTTAAAATAATAAATGATCCTGCTGTGTGAACTTCACCTGCAGTGAGACTGTGCTGGCTGTGAGACTGCTCCTCTGGCCTGGCTTTCTCCAGGCTTCTTGTATCCTTTGGAGCTGGGAAGCTGATTTGATTTTATTTTTAGCTATGTTTGTGTTTTTTAACTGCTGAGGTACTTGAAGCACAGATTGCTGCCTGGGGGGCAGGAAGGACTGGGGGTGGAGGTGTGTGAAGAGCACTGAGGAGCTGCTCAGTGCCTACTCCTGCCTGTGTTACCTCTGCTCAACCTCACCTAGTGTGAGTGTACAAGTGATTAAGATACTTTTCCAGTCAAGTTTATATTTCTTTTAAATGCAAATACCTGCTATTCATTTGGCAACTTTTAATTAGGACTGCAGGGGGAGGAGATGTTAATAGTTTGGGCTGAGCCAGGCAGCTGTTCCATCCTGAAGTCTTCATCTCTTGGTGTGGATTCATCCCAGCTGCTCTACCTGTGCACCCTGACCTGGGCTGGAGGCACTGGGAAGTGTTCCTGGCCTGGCTGGGTGAGGCACAAAGTGGTGACAGCACATCCTCTCCAATGTGGGTCACCCCAAGGTCCTCCCAGGAAGGCAGGATCAGTGCAGGGCTTGGGGGGGTTAAGGTGGGTGCTTGGAGAGCAGCTGGTGGCTGTGTCAGCCAGAGCCTTCCCAAGGACACAGAGGCTGGGGCTGCAGAGGAACCTGGAGCATCCAGCTGACTTGCAGAGTTCTCTCTTTTCCAAGAACTAACAGAGTAAGTACCTACAGATCTGAGTGCTGCCAGGTAAGGAAAAACAGGACAAGGAGTCCAGTGTTGAAATTCAGGATTGCTGGTGGTGATCCTGTTGGAATGGGTGGTCCTGAGCAGCAGGATTGCTGTTGCTGCTCCAGAGGATCTGCTTGGAAGCAGCAGTGCTTCTGAGGAGCAGTGTCACCCTGTGCCTCCCAGCTGAGATCCAGGTTGACCCTCATAACAGAATCATATAATCATGGAATGGTTTAGGTTGGGGGACACTTAAAGACCATCCAGTTCCACCCCTGCTGCCATGGGCAGGGACACCTCCCACCAAACCAGGTTGTTCCAAGCCCCATCCAACCTGCCCTTCAACACTTCCAGGGATGGGGCAGCCACAGCTTCTCTGGGCAACCTGGGCCAGGGTCTCACCAGCCCCTCGTGCAGCTGTGCTTGCTCAAATCACAGGCACAGCAGGAATTACTCTTTTTTTCCAGAGCCAAATTTCTACAGAAACACTGAAGCTTCACATGTTTCTGTGGTGAACAAACCTCCTCTCTAACACAGCTGACCTTCCTGAAGGGAGAGCTGGCTCCACATCATACCTGAAGGGACTTCAGTGCTCTACTCAGGTTTGCTGGAGTAGAAATGCACGCAGACCTTGCAGGTGTCAAGTTTAATTTACACAGAATACATTTAAAATATGACACAGAACAAAGACAATATATACATCACTTTGCAGGCACACTCCTGTCCACAGGGAATGTTCTCAGTGCTGAGATGAGAAGGGGCAGGGCCTCAGCACACCTGCATCATCATGGAGTTCACCATGTTATCAAAAGCCCTGGAGAAGGAAAGGAACACAGACTACTGAAGGAGGCAGCAAGTTCTGCCCAGCTGGTCTCCTGCAACAAAAGGAGCAGCTCACAATGCCTGACTAACCAGCTGGCTTTTCCCCAAGCTGAGCCATGGTTTTACTCCATCTATGAGATGCTCTCTTGAGTAAAGAGTGATTTTTTTATTATTTTTTTTTTTTTCCCCTCAGCTGAAGCAAGCAGGGCTGGTCCTGGCTGTAGCCTTGCCTCAAAGTGTAGAAGTTGTTCTTCCCTTGGCAACAGAAACTCTCAAGGTTATTAGCACTCCCTGTGAGATTCATTCCAGAGGAGGAATGGGGGGTACTGGCCCCCAGAGGTGAGGAATTAATGCACCCTGAATGTCTACCTGTCCTCACCCAAGAATAAACCCTGACAAGTGCAGTTTTTTGCTCTAACGTGCTCTATTTATGTTTCTGCTCATACTTGCCTATGAAACAGGACATCTTTCCTTCCCAGTAATTTTCCTTGAGCCCATGTTTCTAACAGCAGTTCTGAGGTAGGAGTGAGAGGTCAGTGTAACTTTTGATGAGACCCTCAGGTTTTCTTTTAGGCAGAACTAGCCCACATTTAGAGCATTCACACCTGAACTGGCCACCAGGGATTATGATGGAATCATAGAATAACTTGGGTTGGAAAGGACCTTAAAGATCATCTAGATCCAACCCCCTCTATGGGCAGGGACACCTCTCACTAGACCAGGTTGCTCTTGGTCCTAATTACATCCCAGCTACACTGCAAGTTCCAAATGGATGATGACAAATAGGAGTGTGGTCAACCCACGTACCTGGAATGGATCCGGTCCCCAGGGTTATAGAAAGGGTTGCACATGATGTCTGTGTAGGAATTATGCAGCTTTCGGAACATCTGCAAAGGAATTGTAATTTAATGATGACTTTTGTGTGGTTTTTTTTGCCTCTCAGCACTTGGTGAGTAAGTGGAAGTAGCAAAAAAAGCCACTGATGGGGCAAATGGTGCCCTGCTCTCTGCACTCACGCTGCGGATCTCGTTGTCCCGGAGGGCGGTGTTGGAGGAATCCACCACCATCACAAACTTCACCTTGGAGTTGGTCACGTAGCCATATCTGTGCAGCTGTTAAGGAATGTGGGTCTGAGGCACCAGAGCCTGGCAAAGCAGCTCCAACAAGGCTGGAATAGGCCCCAAGGAACCAGCTGAGAGGAAAGCTCCTGTCCTTGCTGTGGCTGGCAGGGAACTGGGGCCAGAGGAGGCAGCAAGAACCAGCCTGCAGGAATTGTGTCCCCTCTTTCTGCCTCACTTCTGCCACCTCTGACAACCCCAGGTCCTACACAGGCTGGAAAGGCCTGTTTTGGTGAGGGCTTCTCATTAAGGTGGTGGTTCTTCTATTTTGGGAGACCACAGTTGGTCACCTGGAGATTTTTGAGTACTGGGCAGTGTGACTGGCCTGAGACCTCAGAAATTAACAACCAGTTTGTGAAAACCCAGAAATCAGGTCTGCTGGTAACTTCCATCTGTGGGATTCAGAGAAAAAAAAAAAACAAAGGTAGTTCAAAATATCAACTTTGGGAATTAAAAACACCAGGGCAGCTGCTGAGCTGACCAAGGCACCAACCCTGAACCTCCACATGACAAACTGGTCAGTGGACAAGTTTTCTGCTGATGCCTTTATTGTGGCACTGAGCAGGAAGAGAGGTTTCCCAGAGGAAAGATCCCATAAATACACCCTGGAATGGCAAAGGGCTCTGGAAAGATACACCTTGTAGTCCTCTGTGGGGTAGAGCAGCCCTAGGTACAGCTCCCTCTGATCTACCAGAGCCTTGCCCATCGCAGAGATCTTCTCATCCACAACATCCAGGGAAGTGTGCACAGTGTAGTGGAACTTCAGCTCGTTTTCTGTTGGAATGCTCCGGATGTACAGGGGATAGTTCTAGCAGGGAGAGGAAATGACACAAACTAGGGCTGGCCCCTCCACTCTGTGTGTGACAGCTGGTGCCACAGCAGTGCTCTCACACCAAGAGCTGCTGCTACCAGAAGTAAGCAAAGCTCTAACAATTAAAATGTAAAATGCAACCCTTTTTCATTCACAGCCCCCCTCTTTACACCATGCAGTGCTCTTGGGACAGATCTGTCTCCATGCCCCAGAAGAAGCATTTGCACAGGCTCTGCACAAGGCTCGGACCCCACCACCCCTTGATCTGCACCCCCTGCCCCAGCAGGGCCTGTCCCCAGCTCACCAGAAGCCCCTCTCCCAGCAGCAGGAGGTGCAGGCTCCTTCACACTGTCCCTGTCCTTGCTATTCCAGCTCCCTCTGCCTCGATCCCTGCCTGTCCCAGCCTGCCCTGCTCCCCCCTGTCCCGGTTTGACTTCATTTAGTCAATCAGCTTCACCTTCACCCCCTAAGACCCTCCGAGGCCCTGCCCGGCTCCCCTCACCCCCCAGAGCCCCCCCTGCTCCCCACAGCCCCTCCTCACTCCT